ACATGCTAATTTAGAGCCAACAAACTCTACTTAACAACTGTATTGCAGAGACGAAAGCCCTGCGAAACTCTCGTAGCTGTCAAGGTATTGATATCATACATTTCACCAACAGTATCACAGTATACAATGCAATGCGGATGACATCACTCTTGCGAATCCTTGAAGGAAAGATAGTTCAGTTTCTTGGTTTAATTCAAAGGATATCGCCCGCATTGATTTGACGATGGCAACATTTTAATTTATAATTGGGGAGGTTGTGTTGCTAGCTTGAGGACGTTTTTGCGTTTGATTTTAAAATGAATTTTCGAAACCCCCATATTTGTTAGGATCATACCCGATGGATGAAAGACAAAAATATTTCCAAGTTCCAGCGATATTTTCTGTCTTTAAGTATTCCGATAAAGCCTGTTAAGTCAACGGCTTTTTGGAGCCCTGAAAACAACAGAGGATTTTGCAATGGCACTGACTGGAGAAGACTGCCCTCCTATCAGCAGTTAGCCAGCTTTGCTCTCCTGTTTTCAAATACTGAAATGTTTCCTCCTTGTATCTAGATATTTAAGACTATTAAATAACGCAACGAAAATTTTGCAAAGTGGCCTCCGTGAGCCACAAATACATTCCTGACTCTGCTGTAGTTCAGTAGCAAGTTTGGTTATTGAATGGCCGAACGGAGACTGGAACGATTTTTGAAAAAGAAAAAAATCTGGCCTCAATTGGAGGCATTAATTCTCGCCAGCATTAGACCCCCCGTGAATTCTTTTGCTTAAATAGCTCAGCAGTTTAACCCAAGAAAGCCTTATGGATTTCATCTTTTTAATTTTCTAGTGGCCGAAAAAAAAGGTAAATAAAACAGTAGACTTGTCTCCTGTGAACTATTAGTAGTCTTGTGAATACTTGGAAAGGACGAATAATTAAAAACTTTCAACAGTACCCCATCCTTCATTATTTCAGTTTTTACTTCATTACATCCAGCTTGGACTGTAAGCCCAAAAACGTTATTTCAACACAATGAACAAAGTTGTTGAATACAACAGGTATAAATTAATATACAATAATAAATTTAAATTATAACAATCTGCGTTTGAGCGATGAGAATTTTGTGAGTGATAAAGGTATTACTAGTTTTGCATTCATGAACATTTTAGTCAATAGGAAGGTGCAATCAACAGCAATAACAGTAGAGAAAACCACAAGATCTTTTGCTTACATCATTATATTCTCTTTCACTAACATTACGTGAAAACGTCGATAAGTTTGTGTACACCCTTAATCAGTAAAACCTTTTTTTTAAAAAAAAATCATGAAACACAACATTAGATAACAGATGACCAGACTCGGACAAAAACAAAAAAAATTATTCCCTTTCAAAACAGAGGGAAAGACCATATGGATACGGCAGAAACTACAGTGAGTTACACTTTCTGTTACAAACACAGCAGTTTTTCAAAAAAGCTATTATGCACGACTCTTGCACTAACTTTTAACAGCATTAAGCTCATTAAAAAAAGGGTTTGTGGACCTCAATGGAGTTTGCTGACATGAAGATGTTGACTTTATAACAATTTCAGACCACTTTACATCAAATGGATCTCGGTCAGCGGACTTCTCATCCAAATAGTTGTTAAGGGAACCATTTGAATGGCCTACAAGAAACTAAATTATAAGTAAAAATTTAAGGAGTGGATGTGGTTCCAATGCAAACTCTCTTCAAAAAACTGTATTTGGCATCATTAGCTTCCGTAAAAAGAAAATCTAAAAACCTGATCACTTAAAAGTAGCTAAAAGGTGAAAATCTTTACCGCTAAATTCAACGGTACCGAGGACTAAGACACAAAAACAAAAGGAAACGACTTGTTGCAAATGAAAGGGAGCACAAGTGTCCAAAAAAGAGGAGCTTAAACCAAACGCCACCACTTACTTTCTTTAAGATTTTGCGGAACAGGACTGGGCAGTGGATTGAACGGAGGCTGCCCAAATGCATCAACTAAACTGGTGGTTGGAGGTTTACTTGATTTCACCTAAATTATTTTAAAGTTAAAACCTGCAGCCGTGGTGACTGTAAAAGCCCACATTTATTCGTTGAAAGATATTAACTGTAGAGTAGATATAAAATACAAATACATCACAAAAAACCATCGATAATAACAAACCGGAGTTCTTTCGACGAAGGACTGAGACATTGGAATTGAAGGTAAACGGGACTCCGAGAAATCTGAACTATCGCCTCTAAGTGATGAGGTGGACTTTTCAGCTTTCATCGAGAACATTAAAGCCTTCGGTGGTAAAGGCGGTGGTGGTTGATTTGGAGGCAATCCTGGCTCCACTGCTAAAAACAAACTTCTTTCTTAAAATAGAATAAATGAATTACTAGCTAAAATGTGAAATGACCACCACCATTACCAGAAGGCATCTTGACAAACATTCCATTCTTCGGTGAAGAATTTAATGACAAAGATGTTTTTAAAATTTCTTCAAGCCATTCATCCGCTCTAGTTTTAACTGGTTGTGTTACCTCAACCCGTCTATTCTCTTCCCTGAAATAACAGCATATAAGAAGGCATTAAAAAAACTTCAGCACTGCTTAAACTACGAAACATTTGGGAACACCGAGTGAAACTGAAATTTTTTAAGCGGTGAGCCATGTGCTGTCGACAGCAATTATTACACTAAAACAGAACAGTAACCTTTCAGTTTTTTGCATTTCTTGATTCAAATCGAAAACTTGTGCAAGCTTCCTATACGAATTACATTACAAATAAAAAAAAAACAACTTTGTACAATCAAGTTCCTTTCAGCCTCAAATATTTTCTACTCCCCTTTCATTGTCTTATGAAAACTTGAATGATTCTCTATTCCACTTAGAAATTACAAGAGGCCTTATCCCTTCAGAATCATGTTTGCGGATAGGAATGTATGCCCCACAGTACTTTCAAACGAGGATACGAGATCGATAACATAAGCATTCAATATCCCGCACCATTCACTATCAAGCCGTTTTTCCAATAAAAATTTTGGTGGAATAGCGAAAACGCGACGAAGTGCCAACTTCAACAACAAAATGCACAGCTAAAAAGCGAGGAAGCTAATTTGCTAAAATGACAATGTATAATTCGCCCACCAAAGACTAAAAAACCCAATGTATACACTAAAACACCGCTCTTGAACGCAGCACTGGCTCCAACAACCCAAGCCAAAAAATTGTAAAAGGGCCAAGAAAGCACGTCAACTTTGCAAAAATTTAGCTGCATCATTAGTGACCTTATAGTTTACAAAATAAGTTTACTCATGGCGATGGGTTTGAATCAGAAAAGAGAGATTTTAATCCGAAGTCCTTCATAAAAGTCAGAAAGCAACTCTTTTGTGAAATTGGTGTGCTTCTTTTCAAATAAGAATCTAAAACGTGTTGCCAATGGAAAAGTGCCAATTCCAAAACGTTTTTTATATTTATTCAAAGAATATTCTATAAAAAAATTCTAAAAAGCCATAGAAATGTATAAAGCAATTATCTTTTCGCAGCCTGACACTCCACTAGTGGCCTTTTACAGGCAAGAAAAAAATTTAAAAAGCTAGCGCAATGAGCTCATATATTCCGTAGGTCCTAATCAGTGTAATCTCTGAAGCTTACTTTTATAAAACAAACAAAAAGGAATTTTCTCCTGTTTTACTGGTCAGAACTAGTTCCTTAAAATCAACTTGCTCCATAAAAAACTTATAGAACTCAAACTGACTTTCTTTTGAAGCCCCTAACTTCACTGAGAATTATCCAAGGTAGAAGATTTGTAGACTATGAAGAGCAAAGTTTCAAAATTTTATTCAAAAAAACTTTCTTTCATTTGTCTTTTGCGCTGACGTGCATAGACTTAAGAGAAATTTACAGAAAACGATACTTTTGAATGTTCTGAGAGTTGTACAAACATATACTTCTCTATTACTTAAAGTTTCTATTTGTTTTCAATTTTCATAAATTTTAAAATTATTAAAAGCTGAAACACCCTTTTTTTTAAATGAATATATAGAGAAACTGAGAAATCAAAACGGTTTGAGTCAAAAAAAAAAATCTAAGTGCCCAGAAATTAGAAATCGAGTTGACCGTAACTGAACGAGCAACTTCTCACTGATGGAGCTTGACTGACCAGGAGTGTAAGCTGAACCAAACTTAAATCTCATCATTCACACTTGAGCCCGTCAAATTTTTACAGCTCTGAACGAGTCGATAACTCATCGACTCTCCAAAAAAGCAAAGCAAAATGACAGCTATGTACAACAAGTACTAAAAAACTCTGTCAATCATAATCAATAACGAGATGAGTCAGCTGCTTGCAAATTAAAGAACAAAAAGAAATAAATTAGTGAGAGATTCATTCTTAACACACTATGAGTATAGTGGCATAAAGGAAAAAAACAAAGAACTTTTAGAAAAACTGGTTAGCAATAAAATTGAATTTCAAAAAAGCGCCTCCAAAACACTCCCAACTGCGCCCACAAAAATATTTTAAAACACTATTACAGCCAATCTTCATTCTACTGTTCTTACTGTTCACTAGTTTCATTGCTTATAAGATTCTCAAATTTCTGGACGGATATCACTCCCAACAGTCTCCTTCCCTTTAATTTTTTAAAGTGTTTCACTAGTTTTAATTATGGCCTAATGAATCAGCTGAGCTCAAATAAAATGTTTTTTACGGGTAGTGAGACAAGCAAGAAACTGGTAAGTGTCAAGATACAAAAAAAGCTCATGAATGTAGAAGCAAAGAAAATTGAATTTAAAAATGCAAACCCTAATTTAAATACTGCCAGTTTTCTAGCAAAAATTAACTTTTTAAATTTTAGAATAACTATTTAAAAGTGAGGAGACAAGACAATCATGAAAACTAAAAACAGAATGAGAGGCTAAACCATAAAACAATGCGTCACTGAGAAACCACGAAAAGTAAAAAACAACAAGAAAAAATAATATGTTCTCTCAGTGTAAATAAATGTAAGAAAACTTCAAGATTTACCTACCGCATTCTGAGAGTATCATTTGATTCGAACTTCGACGCCATACTGGTCGGGAACCGAACCATTACCGCCTTTTCCGTATAAGTGCCATCTTCATCCATTTCAGGAATGGGTTCATTAGATCCCTTATAATTATTAACAAACTGACTCTGATTATGCTAAAAAAAAAAAAAAA